CAAGTGTTGCTTTGGTGTTTGTCGAAAATTGCTAACACATTAACTCGATTTCAATTCTGCTGTATCTGCAAATAAACAAAAGTTAAGCGTTAGTTTATGACTGCTGGGCATGCACCTACCCGAGCGGTGGCAAATTACAATAACTTCGCTGCTATGTTGCGTATGTATTAGTGCGATATGACATTTTTTTTTTCTGTGCATGCGTTAGTCAATAACAGGTGTGCTTTCATATATTGAATTTTTTTCGCATGCTAATGCGAATATATGTGTGTACGGTTGTGCTCTTAGATAAGTTGCCTTGTTGTTTTTCTTGTAATATTTGCAGCTTAACTGCGTTGCCGGTGTCATATGCCAAATTGAATAAATATTTATTTAATTTGCCTCATTTTTATTTTTACTTTCTCTTCCTTTTGTTGTTTTTATGTCAGTATTTTCCTTATTCGTTTACTTGGTGTGGGAAATAATTTGAATCTGTGTAGTTGGCAGTGCTAGCTTTCATTTGCCTTTAATGTTTTAGGCAAAATTGTTCGGAAAATATTTTATAATACCATTTCATGGCATATTTTATGTAAAACAACTTCATATTTAAAGTAAATATTAAATATTTGCTCCAAATCAAAAAGCTTAAGTTCTTGCCTTCGGCAATTATTCTTCGGCAACGTCTACTTTGAGCGCACAAGTTCCTCAGTTTTTGCGATATCAATCTGAAACTTTGCACCGATACTTTGCTAACTAAGGGGCTGCTTATTTGACGGAATTAGAAATATCGGCTCACTATAGCATATAGCTGTCATACAAACTTAACAATTGGAGTAAAGTGATTCTATGGAAAGCTTTTTGAATTGCTGAAATATCTTCATGGAATTTGGCATGGTTTATTATTTAGGGTAATGGTGCAATTCCGAAGAAACTGTTCAGAGCGGATCACTATAGCATTAAGCTGATGTACAAACTTAACGATAACAGTTCTTATAAGAAATCTTTGTGTCTGTGAAGGGTAGTATTACTAAAAATTGTTGCTAGGCGCAAGAAGAGCTCTTAGAATGTTTGTCTGTCACTCAGGCGGCCATTTCAAAATGTTTAAAAACAGCTTCCCAATGTCCTGAATATAATCTTCGAATATTTTATTTCAAGGAATTGTAAATTAACTTTAGAGCTTCACAATATTAATTACATACATTGTAAATATTTATTTTAATTCCAAAAACAATACTTCCAATTAAGTATTTAAACAACTTAACGTTACATTATAACCTTTCATATAGTTTCCCTTCACTCTAAACTGCCAATTACCATAAGTGAATAGTATAAAACAATAAATGTAATTGAAAACCTAACAAGAGATTTGCCATTATTTCAATTATCATAAAATAAACAAATAAAGCTTATCAACGCACCACAATCGTGCTAAGGACAATGCCATTTACAGTAAAATAATTAACTGTGAGTCTGTGCGAAAATGAGGTCAAAACTATTGACATTATTGAGAAAATTAGAAAATTGCATTAGCAAGTGGCGAAAGCAAAAATACGTGCATATATTGTATATGAATATATATTAGGTTGGATCAAAAAAAAAAGAAACGGTACTCTTAAAAATTTGTTAATAGATACCGCTAAGAAAGTTTCTCCAAGTATGAGCTCTTAATTGCAATGGGAAGGTTCTCCGCTCTACAATTTTCTATTTTATTCTTATTATCAGATAGAGAAATTCATATCACTCTTCCAGCTATTGAAACATTTTTTTATTTAGTAGATTTAATAGAAAGTTTAATGCTTTTAAAAATAGGTCTAGTACAAGTTTTTCGTAGACCTAACCGTTATAAAAATGTTAACGGTTGAAGTTTGACTATTTTAAGGCAAATTTGTGTTTTTTCTTTTGAATTTTATAACACAACGAAGAAAAAAAAATTATAAATTTTTTATAAGACTATGAACTCTGCAACTTAAAATGATTCAGACCTGGAGAGACTTTCTTAGAGGCATCTATGAACCAATTTTTCAGAGTACCAAGCGAAAACAGAACATACGATTTTTTTGTTTGCCCACCCTAACTACATAGAGATATACATATATATTATAGGCGAGTTACTAAATGTGTGTTAAATATTTGCGCACAAACAATAAACATGTGCAACGACATAGCAGCTTCACATTCAACACGCATTTAATAAATAATTATCTAATCATATTGTTATCTACTCGTGAGTGCTGTTGGGGAATACAAAGTTACATCGTGGCGATGGTATATAATGAAATGATGGCAAGTACTAAATTAAATGTCAATAAGTGAGCAGCACATATACATATATACATGCGTAAACACTTCAGGTATGCACTAGTACAGACTTATATGTTATACGAGGGTTGCCATTGGTTTTTATGCTTTTGGAGACGTCTCTTTTGGACTGACCTTTTCTAATAAATGTTTCAGCGTGTTTATATAAACACTTGTGTTTTGTTGGTATTTTTAGAATGGTTTGGAAAAGTTCATAACAGAAACGAAACAAATTTATACCGTGAACATATTTTTGCAACTAATATACACATTTTTCTATTTTCTTTAAAGAGATAATATTAGCATTATCTTAGAGGTCCCTTCCAAAATCCGTAAAATTTGTAAATACTACAGCATTGCATAAAAAGAGTGAGCATGTCCGATTTAAAAAATATATTCGAACATTAAAGCATTGCTTGAATTAATAATCCATACTAAATTTCATGAGAATATCTTAATAAATAAAAAGCTTTCCTTATAAACCCCTTATTTTTATTGTTCAGTTTATATAGTAGCTATATGCTATATTGATTGGGTATCGGGTGCCCTGACAAATATGCAGCTTCTTGTAGAAAAAAGGCCGTGTGCAAAATTTCAACCCGATCTCACAACAAGCGGTGATCAACTCTTGCAAATTGTTCAAACATTAACTCGGAGTATATATCATCTCCCAAATAATCGCGACACACACAATCTAGTTTATCTACTTTCAAAAACTACTAATCAATACTGTGACAATATTTACCTAAATGTTTATGCTTCCCCGATATCACATTGAAGTGAGCGATTAACGGCAATTTGATTGCCATTTTTTTTTTCATTTACATCCCCAAATGTCAATAGACGAAAACGATTAGTAGTAAGTCAAATAGAAAGTGGCTCATAAATAAGTGTTATCAGCGCGAACAGAACAAGATAAACAAGCTAGCAATAAAAAAAACTGCAGAAACAAAAAAGTACATAACAACATTTGCATACAAATTTGAATGCAGGAATATGCGGGTAAGATCTACCATGTATCACATTAGGGTGGGCAATATATGTGGGAGGTATAACTTTAAATCAGGCTTTCTTAATCTCAATTTTAATATTCTAATTCTAGAACAGAAGATAGCTGACTTACATTTCAACTTAAAGTTCATTTTTATTTGACAAGATATCTTCACTGAGATCTAATATGGATTAATAGGAAACCAACGGCACAATCTTGGAACAAATTCTTCAGTTCTGACGGTTATAGCATATAGCTGCAAGCTGAGTGGTCACAATAAAGTCCTTGCATAGAACAGTCTTTAAATAAACTATCGGACAGATCGGGTCACCCTAGCATATAGCTTATAATAGTTTGTTCATCTAACGGTATTAAATAAAGCTAATCGCAATAGATATATGTGTTTATAAATTATCAGAATGATGAACAAGTGACTATTGATAGCCGAAATCGGCTCATTGACACGCCCACAAAACGCCAATAATCGTAAATGTATAAAAAGCCATAACTAAGCTTCACAATAAGATACAATAGGCGTGGCACTCCAATAACTGTATTGTACATATCTCATAAACCATTTAAGCTATAATAATAATCAAATTTTAACCAGAAAAAGTCTTTTTGGCATGCCTTTGCACCTTGCAGGAAAAAGGTTGAGTTCCGATTATAGCCCCGCCCACTCACCATATAACGGTTTTTTTTAAAAACTACTGAATATGCGATAAACCAATAACTAAATGTACAAGAGAGCCTTTTGGAAGCCAATGTCAAATTTGAAAAATGGCCGTGGCATCGACCACATTTAAGTTAAAACCCATACCTCTGGACCTGCATGACCGATTTCCATAAAAATCAGTAGGAAATATTCTGCTGACTTTCCTACATTACATTGCGAAAATTGGCGAAATCAGACAAAAGGCAGGTCTATTTCCCATATAAGAACATTTCGAACTCCATCCGACTCTTTCACTTACCAGTACAAATCCAAAAGCACTGTAATATAATACTGGGGTTAAACTTCATAGCACAGGCAAAATGCAATACATCTTTTGCTGCTTCGTTACACTGCTGAAGGTATACCAACTTGTAACTGTCGAATTACAGCGCCAAAAACACTGACACATATTTTACAAACATATTACAGTAACAACATTTATACTGCCCAACAGTCATAAGCATTAGTAGGCAGCAGGGACACAAGCACATATTGATAATTTCACACTTGAATGGAGAGCAAGTAACAAAATTGGCACCATACAAAATCTGCTGACGTCACAGCTGCCTTTATGCTATTTCGGCAACCTCATTATCTCCTTTACATACATTAAAATACAGTAGTGACTTGTAAATTTGAAAGCTGTCACATCAACTACTAAATCGTTTTGACAGCCGCGCTGACAGCAAGTATTATGGTATGCCAAAATCAAAGAAAAATGCCCAAAACACAAGCTGAATAGCGCAACCCACTGCGCATATACACATAAGACAACCGCACACTGGAAGACACACTCAAGCGGCAACGAAGATAACATTGTTAGCCATTAAACTGCTCAACTAAAAGCAACCAGGTAAAGGCGTAGCATTTGGTAGGCAGCATAGCGAGGCTACCAGGAGGTGTGCGTGATTAATTTCTCGTCATAAAGCTGACATAACAATAAGCAGAAATGGTTGGCAGAGGCAAACAGTCTAAGCTAGTGGTTGATTTCTGTTTGGTAAAAAGCAGCGTACTTACCGTTTGAAGTCTGTTTGTGGCTTGCTGTTGTTGTGTTTTTAAAGCAGCACAAGTTGATTGCTGGAATACGGTGTTGAGCAGCTACAGGCTGTACGCAACTACCTAGCGGTATATGTGCAAACGTTGTACTGCGGGCGGTGGCGTATGCGCAACTTTTGGCTTTTGCCTATTGATTTCTGCTTTTTGCGGTTGACTGCGTTGCTACTTGTTTTATGTTTTATGTTGTTTGTTATTTGTTTTTGGTGATGCTTGATATTTTTTTTGACGTTTTCTATTGATTTTGACGGTTCAGGTTGTATTTTTAGTTTTTTTTATGTTTTTCTTGATCAGAAAGCTAATTTGCTTTGCCTTTTAATGTAATCAGTTTTGTACTACCATCGTAAGCGCTGCATTAAAGAAAGTAGCGTGAGTGCGTTTCCGGTTTCTACTACATAGCTTCTAATAACATTGCATTATTATATAATTTTTTATCACTTTATGACGATTACATTTATTCGTATAGTAGAAATTTTGCAAAATTTCCATTAGTATATGAAAAAAAAGTTGGCTCCCTGCTTAAGTTTTGGTTTCTGCAAAATTAAATGCTTTGCATGTTCTCGATATTCGTTTCTTTTTTAAAATTATTTGCTCAAAATAATTTTACTATTTTTTATTAAACATATTTTATGTTTACTTTGCTCTCCAGCCTTTTTTTTTTGTGCTTAAATATGTACAAATACTGCAATTTATCTAGATAAGCTATTTGTTTTATGACAACATGGCGTATGAGTAACTTTTGCAAGATTATTTGCTATGTAAACAAAAAATTGTATGCTTTAAGCAAAGACCGACAATGCTAATGCAACATGTGACATTTATTTGTTCTGTACTGTGGATCCAGTGACTAAAACGTAAAGTTTTGGAATTTTAATAATTTTTTTGATTTTGACAGGATTTTGACTTATAGCTAGCTGAACTCAATGGAAACTCAATGAGTAGCTTATTTTATTCTATGTATATTTTCTGTCATTGTTAACTTCTGTTACCAGTAAATTTTAAAAAAAAAATTTATAACGCTTCCTTCGAAATATCAAATTTGAGTTTTAAGCTCGAAATTTGAAAATGAAGCTAAATAAAATTATTAAGATATTTTATTCTAACGAAAGTTAATTAAGCAATTAAAATTTGAAACAAGTTTTATGAATTTATCACTTTTGAAAGTGGTTCCATTTCTTTTACTGTTATATTTTGTTTCTCTTGTCATTTTCACCTTACAAAATATACAATGTTTTGTTTCTTATCTACTGAATTGTAGTTATTTATACAGGAAATTTGTTAATCTTACTGATTTTGTTTAAAAAAAATTTAAATATTTAATAGAATTTAATAACACTTATAAGAATCAATGCTTTTGAAAAAGGCTGCCATGACGTATAAGTAACATTTGTCAACTGCAGATTAGCTTTAACTGAAAATTTTCGCAAACTGAAATGCTACTAGCCTTAAGTCGTTTTTAAACTAAAATATTACGAAAATACATCAATACATCAATAACTAAAAGCCAATGAAAGGCTCTTGACTTAATATTTCGCCATATAAAATATATGTGTAAAGCATTAATTGCTTACATTTTCCATAAAAAAGAAACAATATAGCAAATACATAATATAACAAGGGTGCGTTAAATTCATTAAATTAGCTAAATTAAAAGCTGAAATCCGGGTGTTGCCATGGCGTATGAGTAACCAGCAGAGTAATTAAGTGAAGCCTCGCCTGCAATTTGATTGCTTTTAATAGCTTAAAAATGTGTGTTTGGTAATTTTGTTTAAAAAAAATGTTTTAAATGAAAGCTATGCATGTTGCTGTCACCGAAGCCGCAAATACAATGCGGTTATGAGGTTTGGATAAGCTAGCTAGACTGGAGGCCTTACGTAGTTTGTGTAGCTTTGCAGCTAGTTTGAAGCGTAAAATATGATTTTTGTTTGGTACTTATTGCAAAAAAAAGAAAAATCAAATGAACTGAGCTTTCATACATTACCATGCAGCAACACAGAATTATTGCGGCATTTTTATGAATGCTCAGTATATTTGTTGTTTAAATTTAAGTGCGTATAATTTCTAAAGCAATGATTTTAGGAAAAAAACAATTGGACTTTATTTGTGAAGCGTAAAACTTTTTACTAAAATATTTTGCTTTTAACGTTGTAGGTTTACTCTTTTAGAGCGAAATGTCAAGAAATTTCATGTTATATATATGGAAAAATAAAATGATTAAGCCACAGTTCAAATTAAAAAGTAAGAGCTTGTTTATGTTGGACAAATTTTTTAGGGCAAAGGCTAATACTTTAGAGAGCTGTCTGTAAAAAAAAACGAACTTTGCAACTAGCGAAGTCCCTAATTTATATAGTGGCTTTAAACTTACATGATTACATACGTGTTTGTATTAAAAAATAAATATTTTATGAAAAATTTTTGGCATTTAATTTTTGTTTATATTAATTAATATAATAATAATATGTATTTAGTTTATACTGATAATAATGCACAAAAATTCAAAGTTAACCACATTTTGTGTAAAATTTTGTTATTTTTTTAGAAATACTTCACAGTAACGTAACAAAATCCATATTTTAGCGTCTCAATTGACAAATGTCACCAACTAAATAATACTGTCAGCTGTAATCAACCGGTTCACTAATTATAATTTTTGCTATATGCTTTTTGCCAAAACGAGATTCAGCTTGATGCAGACTTGTCATTAATATGCATATTAATTAAGCGCTATGAGTATACATATTTTATTATTATTATACTCCATCGCAAATTTCAACTTATTATATGTGAATATTCCCGTTAGTGTCATACGATGTAACGTGTGCAACACAAAAAATAGCTTTTCAATGCTGCTGTCATGTTATATCAGCAATGTAGCTTATTAAAGCAGCACATCAAAGACAACTGAGATTACCAAACGAGCGCAACGTGCCACATGCCTTATGCTACACACACGTAGAATGCTTGCGTGCATTTGGAAGTATACATTTCTTTTTCAGAATATTATTTTTACACATTTAATTTAACATTTTTTTGTAACCATTTTTTAGACAAAGTAATTCGCGTACCAGCAATTAATTATTTTCCATATTTTTATTGTATCTCTATTACACAAATGTGGTGAAATGTGTTACAAGCTTTCGTAAACTATAAGCGCACGCAGAATTTTATTATCCGCACATGTTTTTGGACACGTTTGCAACGTTTTGTTGACAGCGCACGACTGACAAGCGTCTAGCCATCGCACTGGCCGACAACATGTATGGCATACAGCAAGCGCTGCCTTTATTTTTATTGCATATATACACGCATGCAGGCATAGGATGTGCAAAAAAGGCTAGCGCTGGCGGTGATGTTGACGCTGAACTCAACGTTTGGCGCTCACGCTGCGGCGCAGAAGTTATATGGATATGTTAACAAAATCTGTTGGCCAAGCGACAGGCAGAACAACGCAGCGTTAGCAGCAGTAGGAAAATTCATAACATTTTATGCATTAACAGCATTATAAGTAGCAACTGCAGAGGCAGGAATGGCAATAGCAGCAGTTGCGCAGCTGCTCGCATGCAAACACTCGTTCGGCAACATGAACTGGAAAATGTTGCAACGAAAAATTAAAAAAAGAAAATTTAACTTCCAACCACATAGCTGTAAATGTAATCGGCAGCTTTTGCTGTTATCTTTAATTGTTGCATATTTGGTTTGCTTCGGTTGGCTGCTGTAAACTTTATTTGGTTATAACAGTGCAATGTTTTTCTTTAACAGCGGCGTGTTAGCAATACAGTAAACGCTATGAGACTACTTTAAAAGATGTTTTCTCTCAAAGAGAAGGTATAAATGTTAGTTAATAGCATGCTAAAGTACTGTTTAACGAATGTTAAATGGCAGCAAGTCCATCTACGGTTTACTGTAGTTCTCTACATAGTCAACATTTGCGCGCACTCTATTCATTTAGGTATTCCACGTTCAATGTAATATTTGTTGCATGCGATATAAAATATTTCGAAAATATTGCCCTAATTAAAAATTTAAGAAATATATTCAAAACTCCAACACTACTTCTTGTAGGTGCATATTAAGCCTACTAGCAGTGTAACAATCTTTGAAGTACATATATTTTTAATTATTGCTTATGGACAACGTATAATTTTTTTTTTTAAATAAAATAATAAAACAAGAAAAAGCATTTAATTTGGCTATACTGTAGTTATAAGCTTACTATAGCATACATCTGCCATAGAAAATGAGCGACCAACATAAAAAAAAAAGATCTTTTTATACACTAATATATAGTCTACGCCGTTTCCTTTTGGGTATTACAAACATCCTGTCAAACTTAATATACTCCGTTCACGGTATAAAAATTGGTATTACAATTTGCTTCTCAAAAGAAAATATGATAAGCATTTATTAGCTCAGCATTTATATTAGCTAAGTAACATCGTTTATTGGTTCAAAGCTTTCTGAGCATATCCGCGTATTTCCATAGATATATGTATGTATATTTATGTACATACAATTATGTACATATTTATAAACGTAGTTCTTTTTCGTATACATACATATATCTGTTTATTTTGGGGGCTCGTCATTTTCTATACAACATTTAATGTTTTGCTTCTCTCTTCTATAAACTGTTCGTACTCAGTATTACCACAGTGTGATAACAGCTGCTAGCACGCTACTGTGACTCTACTGCCTGTTGAGAGTATAATGTTTTGGAATGTTAAATTAAAATAATTTGAATTATAACAGCGTGCATATTAATGCTAACATAGAAGTCATTGTAACATTCTGTTAGCCAACTTATGGTTTTCAGAAAAAGTTGCAGCCAACATTATATTGAATTTAGTATGTAATAACAGCTCGAAGCAATAACTTTGAAAACGGAAATGTTGATAAAATGTTTATTTTTGCTAGCTTCCATTAGGATTAATCATTATTTTAATATCACTTAAATATCATATTATAGAATTTGATATATTAATAAAACGCCATGAATTTATTTTGTTTAAAAAATATTTTTTCTCTTACTTTTCACTACAAAAGTTTTTAAATACAAATACTTCCATCTACCAATATAGAAAAAAAATATTTTACTTAATTAAATATTTTTGAGACACTTTTACTACGTAACCAATTTCGGTCACGCACGCGATTACAGTGAGCCAGCACAGTAAAAGTCGAGTAGTTTTACATTTTTTCTCTCTAAAGGTTTCCAAATAAAGTCATATAAATAAATGAACTGAAATCAAAATGTTAGAGTTGCCACCTATTTGTAAGTTTTTGTCAATAAATTATAAGTGATTGAAATAATTTAAGTACATAAAAACTCAAATTTATTACAGTAAATAGTGGAAAAAAAATATTGCAAGTTAACATAAATTATCACAATATTGAAAATTTTTTGAAAAGAGTTGCACATTTTTGGAAATATTGTAAAAAGAAAATTAAGAAAGTATTTAATGGTAACAAACTATAGAAGAATTACCAACTGATTCACTAAAATAAGTACATTTTATATTAAAATATTTACGGTAACAATTGGAACGTATTATTATGTAGGTATAACTGTAAGCAATAGTATAAATAATTATTGTATCTATAACTTAAGGAGATACGGCAAAATTGGTATATTTATAATATTTCTTAAATATTTTCACCTGTCACAAAACCGATGAAGTTTTTATTTTCTTCATGCGGCAAAATATTAGTACCAACAAAAAGTAAAATAGTCCAATAAATTGACAAATCTCTCAAATCCCTTTTATGTAGTTATTTGCACTACATATTTGAGCACGGGAGATAATTGCCGTCTAATAGAATCTCTACTGACGAAAAAATCTGCGGAAAAGGGGAAGTGCTATTTCGGATAACTAAAGAATACATATTCCTTACCAAAAATTACACCTCACTTTCTTGTT